CAGTGATATTCCTGTCAAAAATGCCTAACTACCTAAAAAGATATGACAAATAAATGCAAAGTCTGATTCTGGATTGGATCCTGGACGAAGAAAAGACAGTTATAAAAGACTTTTTTGAGACAACTGATGATATTTGAACATGGACCATCGATTGGAAAATAGTATTGTATCAATGTGAAATGTCTGTATTTTGAAAATTGCACTGTGGTTATGAAAGAGAGTCCTTTTTCTTAGAAAATGTACAGTGAAGCATTTGGGGGGAGGGGGCATTATGTCTCCAACCTATTCTCAAATGGTTCAGAAAAATGCATATTTATCTATCCATCTAACTAACTATTAATGATAAAGGAAATGGAACTGAGAATTTCCTGGAATTTTCAAAAGACACCAGATCCAGGAATCTCAATAAATTTCAAGCAAAGTAAATGGAAAGATAGCCACATTCACATATATCCCAATTAAACTGCAGAACACCGTAAAAAAAAACAACAAAAACTTAAAACAGCTATAGAGAATAGACAGATGATGTGTCAAAGTGGCAGTTAGACTTACAACTGACTTTCCGATGGAAATAATGGAAACCAGAAGACAGGTAAGGAAGAGTATGTCTGGAATACATGAGATCCCTTAGGGGGGGTCTCTTAGTTTATCATGCCCTGTGATTAAGGTTAATGGCAAACTATGACAATTCAATCCAGGTTGGATCAGTAATGGCCAGACTCTTTAGGAAAGATTTGGGTCACCCCCACCAGGTAAAGAATTAGGACTAGCTGCAGAAGTGTATATTGGTCTTTAGGAGGGCGATTCAAGAATCTATCAACATTATAAAGTAACTCCCTTTGATTCAGCAATTCCACTTCTGAGAATCTACCCTTTTAATATATATAATATGTATAAAGATGCATGTGCAAGGATGTGTGGTCTATCACCAGAACCATGAAATCTATCATGATCCATCCCAACCAAAAGAATACCATGGATATACCTCTGTATGCTCTGTCATGCAAGCATCCTTAAGATCTCAATTTATTTTGATCAGTGAAAATAGCAAATCATGCAGACCATTACCTTTTGTACAATTTCATTTCTATAAAACTGAAAGTATGCACAAACACACAGTTGCGTGTCTAAACACATATACAGACAAGTGTGTGTGTGTGCGCGTAAATATCGAGAGAAAGAGCTATAAGAACATACACCAAACTGGGAGGTGGGGGAAAGTGATGATGATTTGTATCAAGGAGGATGTTTTCTTACTCAGTGTACTTCTGTGATGCTTGAGTCTTTCACAACACAATGGGTTAATATATTGCTTGTGGATGGAGAACGTTTAAAAAGTAAACTGCTCTAAAGTAGACAGACCAGCATTCCCAACTGCTCCTTGAAAAGAAAGGGAATGTTTTCAAAACTTAGAGCCACCCCTTTCTAGAGCCCTCCCCTAGCTAAGTGAACTCAAGGCCGGGGTGAGGAATTGTTCTCAGGGCTCTGTGGGCAGGCATCTATTCTCTTGGACATGAGCTGGGACTCTGAGTGGAGCATCAGACTCCGTGTATGGAACACCCCAGTCATTTCCATTATCTGGGAGGCGTCATCCCAGCACTGCCCCATGCAGGGTGGCCCACGGCTCCCATTCACCCACCCTGCTGTATCTCAAACCCAAGGCTACCCTTTTTTAGGAATAGCAAAAGAAGCCTTGATGATAGTGTTTTCCAGGTCTCTGAAATTTGTGTCCTGGAGTAGAATAAGGTCAACCACAGTGACAAGCAAAACCAAGAATGAGGCAGTGTGTAGAGTATGGTGATGATTGCAGTTTTCATTTCCTCTAGGCAGAGAAACCTCAGGAGGCTGAGGTCAGGGCTTCCCAGCATTTTTACCCTGAGACTTATTGGGACATTTCAAAAGTTTCCCCCCACACCTTGGTGTGGGGGGGGGGGGCAGATGATTCCTTCTCCAGGGATGGGATGAGATTGTATGATGAACTTTGTGTGAGACCAAGTACCCTGTACAGACAGGAGAGACTGGGAATTGGTTTGTTCTCTGGGGAGTTAAAGTGTTGGGACATTCACAATTTTAACCTTATTTAGAAGTTAACATCTGAATATAGATTTGAAGAGGTAAGAGATGAAGCCAAGTGAAAGTCAGAAGGAAGAGTATTCAGGTCCAAGGAGCAGCAGGGCAAAGGCCCTGAAGTAGGATTGTGTCTGGTGTGTTGCACAACCAAGAAGTCTTTGTGGGAGGGAAAGAGATAAGATCAGAAGGGAAGGGAGGAAGATGGAGAATGAGAACTGCCTTGATAGCCTGTAAGGACTTTGCCTTTTATTCTGGATGAATTAGGGAGCCGTTAGCAGTCTAAGAGCCAAGTAGCACCATGATTTGGTTGTGTATAATAGGATAGTTCTGGTTGCTATGTTGAGAACAGACTAAATGAGTAAAGGAATAAGGGGAAAGCAGGGAGGCCAGTGAGGCAGCAACTACAACAGTCCAAAGGAGAGCTAGTAGAGTTGAGATTTTCTTGACAGAGTGGCCAGCATCACCTGGAGAGCCTGTGATACTCTTTGGGAGACAGGGACTCTTTAGAACAAATAATGAAATGAATATACCACTTCTCTGTGTTTCTACCCCCTGAGGTTGATACTTTTATTAGTCTGGGGTGGGACCAAGGAATTTGCATTTCTACAAGTTACCCCGTGATAGAACTGCTGGTCTGGGAACCATACTTTGAGAACCACCAACTTTTTCTTCACAACACTGATGAAAATGTGCAGTGAACATGTGTTTATCATATTTCCTCAAGAGAGGACACCCTTGTGTCCCTGTGCCAAGCATGATGCACTGAGCTCAGCTCTGGGCCAGGCATGGTGCTGTACTGAATGAAGTTCTTGAGCATCTCTGGTTTGAATGGTTTGGAGGTAACTGGTGATTAAACTTTTCAGGAAATGGTCATTAGAGGGAAGGGATTCATTATAATAACAATGACAATGGGTGTGACACTCCGCCTGGGCATTTTACTACATCTTCTCCAATTAAATCCTGTGAAAGCCCTGTGAGTCTGGCATTATCACCTCTATTTTATGAATCTTGGGGTTTAATTTTCCCAAGGTCACACCATTAACAAGTACCACAGCCCAGCCAGGCCTGACTGACCGCTCTGCTGTGTTTACATCACAGGCTACGTCAAGAAGTCACTGATACCAGGAGATTGCCTTGAAGACAGGAGCTTCCTCACTTGGGGACTGTGCGCCATTTTGAAAAATGCAGGGAATATGCCATCCTTTAAAAAAAAAAAATGCCTCCTGCCTGAACTGAGAGCCCTGTTCACACAGCACATTTCCAGCCCCAAGCTCTTCTTGACAGAGCGCTGGTCCCCTAATAGGTAGCAGCGGCTGTCCCAACATAAGACGTTTTGCTGACCTTTGTGGTTTTTTGCCGTTCTCTGGTGGAGCACGTTTCCTCAGCTCTCACCTTCTTCTCAGCCTCCTGTAGGATGATGGACACAACTCCGGGGCTGAAGCTTCACAAATCGAGGCCAGCCTATCTCTAAATGGAATCCATCGCTCTTCCGAGAGAGGGGGAAAATAAAGCTCCAGGACTTCCCGCCTCATCAGTCGCTCTCTTCCCCCGCCCTCCCCAGAGGATAAAAATAGCCTCCTCCCGGGGCCTCCCAGCCGGAGCAGCAACGGCGCCCGGAAACCGGGCCTGCCCCGCGAGCAGATGCGCAGTGACGCGCGGGGCCGGCGGGCGGCCCGGGGATCAGGGAGCGGACCTGCCCGCACCGGCGAGGTGAACCGGCCGGGAAGGGACGCTGGGAAGTCTCAACCGAGAGAGGGGGCACCTGGAGCAAGTTTGAGCGCGATGGTGGGGGCTCACATAAATGCACCCGGAGACCTGGAGGTCCGCGCGCACGGGCTCGTTCGGAAGCCTTTGGAAAAGCCGAGGCGTATCCGCGATTCTTAACCTCTTTAGTGGCCCGGGACTCGCTAGAACAAATGACGAAACGTACCTAGCACTTCTCTGTGTGTGCCCAAGCACACAACGGAGAAACACACACACACACTTCGGCATACCACAGGTTAATAACCCCAGACGAGGGTTGATAATGGGGACGCAGAACGATTATAAAAAATAAAAATTCCTAACGTGTAAGGATAAAGTTACTAAAGTTTGCTGAGCAGGATCCTTTTGGAGAATAAATGCATACTGTCTTTATCCATGGGAAGTGACACAGAAATGTTAATGTTCATCTCCGATGGTGGTATAAAAGATGCTTTCTATTTTTCACCATTTTCTCAGTAAGAAAAAAGCAGGTTTCTCTTTTGCTACTAGAGCGGCCGCATCAGGCATTATCCTGGATCTGGGGAGCCTATTCAGCGGCAGCTGCGGCCCGGGCCTGCCTGCCTGGACTGTGTCGCGGGGAGCCGGGGTGTTACAGACAATAGACAAGCAAACATCAGGCTGGTGACAACGTGGGACGGGGTTCCTTTAAAGGGTGCCCAGGGAGCCCTCAGCCGGCGGCAGCACTTGAAAGCCAAAGCGCTCCCAGCCTGGTCGCGACCAGCACGGAGCGGATGGTGCGTGCGTGCGCGATCTCGGGGCGGCGGCGGCGCGCACGGGCGCGCCTCCGCGGCCAGCCCCCTGCAGTGGACGATGCCGCCGAAGCGG